GAGATTATCATACAAAGTGAAATAAGCCAATCCCCAAAGACCCAAAGGCTGAATGTTCTCTCTGATATGTGGATACTAACACACAATAAGTGTGTGGAGGGGATAGAAGTTCAGTGGATTAGACAAAGGGAAAGGAAGGAAAGGGAGTGGGGATCATAATAGGAAAGACAGTATAATGAATTGGACATAACTTTCCTATGTGCACATATATGAATACGCCACCCATGAAACTCCATATCAAGAACAGCCACAAGAATAGGATCCTATTTAGAATGTTATACTCCATGTATGTATAACTTGTCAAAATACACTCTACTTTCATGTATATCTAAAGAGAACAAATAATTTAAAAATCTAAACATATAACTACCATACCAAAATTTTTTTTTTTTGAAAAATAATGTTGGAGTCAGATCTCAGTATGCCCTAGGAGTACTAGTTCAAAGTTTGTCTTGAGAAATGATTGTTGGTATTCTAAAAAAAAAAACAGCAAAATTTTGCTAATTCAAAAGAGCAGAAATCTGGGGAATGTATGTGGGAATTTATTATAGTACTTTCAGAATAAGGAGGATGGATATAATATTGGTTGTCTCAAATTAATCAATATGGTTATACTTAGAAGGTTTACTTTGCAGTAATATTTTGAGTATCTGTGAATAACTTGTTTGGTAGATTAAATGAAACCATAACTCAAAGGTGGCCTAGGTTCAATGAGATTGAGATGCTAGAACCTTCTTGTCATACAATAGGGAAAGAAAAAGTTTTAAAAATCAAAAGATTGCTAACGTTGATTTCTCATATGTTGCCTACCACATATGCACCTCCACCAGATTATCCAAGAGAGCCCAGATGACACTCCCTTAAGAAATAATCAAGAAATTAATGAAGGGAATGACAGCATGCTAAAAAGTTTGTGATAGTTAATGGTTAGAGATACTGCCACTGAGGTGAACTTCTGATTTCAAGGAAAATGATTCGATTCCAGAATGACAGAAGACTCATGACACTTAAATACCAGAGACAAAGTGTCCTAGTCAAATTAATGTTTGCAAATACTATTGATAAGTTACATTTTGACCTAATCCCCAAATCCATCTTCTAATGGGATCCAGTTTGTCTAGGATTCACACTATGGTTATTTCTCTAGATCCGAATATATAACTGGAATTACTGTAAAGAAGAATGGGGATTAGATACACATGGATTTTCATGGTGATCATGGTTTCCTTAAGAATTAGAATGTCTATGTGATTACTACTGGCTCACTAATATGAAGCCAGAAAGATGCCACAGTAGAAAGTCTTGGCCTCTTACCTAGTCCTCAGACTGAAATCAGTTCATTCATCTAGAAGTCTTTGTCTGAAGGGGAGGCTGGGTCTCCTGAGGAAAAATTCTACAAGACTTCCACAAGCATATATACTACATCTTTAAAGGACTTGCATCCATTTACCAGGATGAATATACATTGAGAAAAGGGAAATACTCCAGACCTTCAAGAATTACCAGAAATTGACTCCAAATTAACACTAAGCCCTAAGATCCCCAAACATCCCAAGTGTCAACTGATTAAAGCTAGGACTTATTGATGTCAGGTGATAAATGCTATTTTGGTCCAAGGTTACATTATAGGACTTAGCAATGGTTATTTCTGATCCCTGAATGTTTACTTGGAATAGACAACATTCAATAACTAACAGAATCCTCACATTTGTTCTCCAAATTGGGGACTGACAACTATTATGAAATAAAGGACCAAATAGAAACTTCTAAATTTCCCACTTGCCAAAATGGTAAAAATTAAACAAGCAGATAAAAAATTGAAACAGAAAATCCCAAATAGATTAGATATGAAAATATATAAAGGATACAGAGAAAGTAATCCTATCACACTTACCTAATCTCCTGTTTTGTCCTCATAGAAGTGATACATCTCAGTAAGATTAATGTGATTCTGCTTGCAGCAGCCACTCCAGATGTGGAATCTTATGGGACTAGATTGACATAGTCCTCTTATTCTTGGCCATTGGTCTGTTATGTGTTGTTTTCTCTATAAGAGTATACAGGACTTTACCCATCAGGAACAGCAGTATATTTTCACCGCCTTGCCTTAGAGCAAAAGAAGCTCTCCTTTTCTCTATTATAATCTGATATGCAGTTGATTATATTGACATATAACAGAACATCACACATATGCACTACATTGATTATGATCATCATGGTAATTGGGCTTGATTAATCAGAAGTACCCTTAGATGCCTTGGTAAGACTCATCTGTGTCAGAGTATGGGACATAAAAATTCCAAGTTTACATACCTTGGTAAATTTTTAGCAGTCCAGTGGTTCTAAGAATTAGATAAATTCTGTAACTAATTAGGTAAATTGCTGTAACTTGTGCCACATGCCACTAAGTAAGAGGCACTATGTTGATTGGACCTCTTTACATTTTTGAAACAATCTTTACTACATTTGCATGTGCTTGTCTTAGAAATTAATTTGTGTGTGTTGCTCTTAGGCATTAATTGAGCCATTGCCTGCCAGAATGAATTTCAGAAAAAGAAAAGGCTTTGTAGGCTTTTTAAAAATATTGTGGCAAGCTGTAATAGTAGAATAACAGTATAGATTCCTTGAGTTTTGGAACAAAACCTTGCTCTGAATTAAAGTTTGTTATTCTTTGAGAAACAGTTCCTGTGTGTATTTATTTATTTGGGGCAGTGCTGAGGATAGAACTCAGGGGTGCTCGACCACTGAGCTACATTCCCCAACCCTTTCTATTTTTGATTTGAGATAGGTTCTCACAGAGTTGCCCTGGCTGGCCTTGTGATCCTCCTGACTCAGCCTCCTTAGTAGTTGGGATTGTAGTGTACACCACTGCACCTGGTGTGTTTACCTTCTTTTAATTAATAAAACCATACACAGGATTTTTGTGCTTGTCTGTTTATATGTTGCATTTTTTGAATGTTTAGTTTAAAAGATTCAGATGGGAAAAACAGAGGTCCAAAAATAGCAAAAGGTCAAATACACAATAAAGAATACGTTTGGGAGAGTATCCCTGATTTTTAAAATAAAGTTATATTAATTAAAATAGCTTGGTTTGGGGGCTGGAATAGACAATTCAATGAAACAGAATATTATACCTGTCATCCAACCCATGAGCATGTAGAGATTTAGTATAGCAATATAAATTAATGAGAAAAAAACTAATTAATAAATATTATTGAGACAATTGCCTTTTATACTGGGGAAAAATATAAACTTAGATTCCAACCTTATTCATGAGGAAAAATGAGTTTTATATGATCAGAAACAGATGTAGAGAACAAAATTTTAAAAATTTTCAAAGTAGACATAGAGCATACCTTTTGACCTCAGCATAAGTGATTATTTTCTAAAAGATACACCAAGTAAGCACAAACCGTAGAGGAGATGATTCCTTTATTTGACTGCCTCAAAGTTAAAAGCATTAGTATGTCTAAACTCACCAAAAGTTAAATTAAAAGATAAGAAACAAATTGGGGAAAGATATTTGCAGCATCAACAAAATTTTACAAATAAATAAGAAACAGACAACTCTTCCCAACTAAAGAATGGAATATGGACGTGAAAAAGCTATTCACAGAAGACTAAAAGATAAATACATAGTAAATACATGAAAATATATTTAACCTCACTAATAATTAGGGAACTATAAATTAAAATATTAAGTTACCATTTTATTGATGAGATTGGAGAAATCATAAATTAACAATATCAGTATTGATATGGATAAATGATAGATACTCTCATTGTTAGTGAGAATGTAAATTGGTATGGGACACTTATGGAGCAATTTGGCAATAACTATTAAAACTGAAAATGCATATTTTATATAATACACTAATTCCACTTTATTTACTTTAGAGAAATGTTTGCAAATATGCACAAGAAGATGTGTATAAGGATATTTGTTGCAGCATTATTTTTATATCAAAATACTGGAAATAACCTAAATATTCATCAATAGAGGAATGTTAAGAAAATTGTGGTGCTTTCACATTATATTATACTCTATAGCAGTTAAAAGGAATAAAGTACATTTCTTTATATACAGAAGTTAGATCTCAATGTTGAATAAATAAAAGCAATTTGAAGAAGGATACATGTACAGCCAGGTGCAGTGTAGCCCGTCTGTAATCCCAGCGGTTTAGGAGACTGAGGCAGGAGGATTTCAAGTTCAAAGCCAGCCTCAGTAATGGCAAGGCACTAAGCAACTCAGTGCGAGTTGTCTCTAAATAAAATACAAATAAGGCTGGAAATGTGGCTCAGTGGTCGAGTGCCCCTGAGTTCAATCCTTAGTACCAAAAAAAAGAAAGAAGAAGAAGGATACACGTACTATTTCTGTTTTGTACACGTACATTTTTGTGTGTACTTTAAATAGTCATGATTTCTGAATGTTGGAAACACAGATGTTAACTTTGTCATTTTCTATTTTTTTCTGTAATTATTTTTTTTCTCAAAATAGAACAACACAATAAAGAATAAGTTAGGGAGGAGTTGTTAATTATGACATGTTCAAGTCAGGTTAGATAAGAACAGAACATCATGTTGAATTCAAGCAATTAACAAGTCAGTAATAAATATTTGTTTAACATTTACTAAGTGCAAGGTATTTAATATGTCACAGAATAGGGAAGTTGAGTGTAAGCCTCACCTAGACAAGATAGAGCTTTCCTAATTTTGCTGCTGCTGCTTTTATATACTTGATAATGATAATGGTGCTGATAGCCAGTTCTTACAGGCACACAGGCTGAGGACTCAGGAGGCTGAGGCAGGAGTCTGAGACTAGTTAACTCAGTGAGACCCTGACAAAAAAATAAAATTTAAAAAGGGGATGAGGATGTAGACCAGTGGTAGAGAGCCCTAAATTCAATCCTCAATTTTTTCAATCCAAAAAGTAGTCATTGTTCTTTCTACATAAAAATCTTAAATCTCCTGTGTCTACTAATTACAATCTTTCTATTTAGGTAGGGGTTTTGGATCGGCAGAGGACATTGGCCTTGCTGGAAACATTCTATGATAGACTTAAACGAAGGCGTAAGCATTTACTCGGAAACCCAAGACAATGTAAGTGCCGCTCAGAGGGAGGAGCATGCTCAAGCTGAAGTGTCCTAGTCCACTGACAGGAAAGCATAAGATTATTCTACCCCTGTGGAATGCCTTTACATAACATCTCCCTTAAGTCCTAATGGCTATATTTATTTGCTCATTCTCCCACAAAATTTACTCCTCATTACAACTAGATGTATTTTTCAGCATGGTACAGTACTCAATGTTGTCAGAACTCAGCTAGAACTCAATTTTCAATTCATTTAAATAAAGAGAGGCTTTAGTGACAATTTGAATGTCTTGGAAATTAATTTGATATTGGTTATCCTATTTTAATGCCCAACTTAAAATACTAACATTTCTAGAAAAATAGTTTATTCTCCCATGCATTTTACTTGTATACCTTTCATATGCTTATGTGGTAAAATAGTCTTTTTATATTTCTACAAAAATGGATTGAGTTTTACTTGTATTTTTAAAGAGAAAATCTTTTCATAACTGGGTTTTCCAAATGATATCAACTTTTTATTTGGTGAAGATTTACTACTTGTATGCTTAAAAAAATCTATGGGTGATATACATAGAATATTTCTAAAAATTGTGGGAATCACAATTTTATAGCTTAATTACTATTCTGAAGGGGATGGTTATGGTTCTACTTCCTGCAGTCCGGAAAACCAAGTTTTTGTGTGTATGTGTTTTTTTTTTTAAAAGAATTTGTCATTATTATTTCTTAAATCTTTATTTATTTATTTTTTATGTGGTACTGAGAATCGAACCCATTGCCTCATATGTGCAAGGCAAGTGCTCTACCACTGAGCTACAGCCCCAGCCCCTGAAAACCAAGTTTTTGTTGTTGGGTTTTCTTTTTCTTTCTTTCTCTCCTTTTTTCTTTCTTTCTTTCTTTTTAGTACCAGGAATTAAACTCGGGGGCACTCAACCACTGAGCCACACCCCCAACCCTACTTTGTATTTTATTTAGGGACAGAGTCTCACTGAGTTGCTTAGCTCCTGGCTCTTGCTGAGGCTGGCTTTGAACTCTTTATCCTCCTGTCTCAGCCTCCCTAGCAGCTGGGATTACAGGTGTGCACCATCCCGCCTGCCCCACTGTTATTATATGTTTTAACAGCAGGATTCTGGTGAATGTTATCCATTCTTTCCCTGGAGTGTTTTGCTCATTTTGTTTTGTTTTGTTTTTGCTCTGAAGATTGAATCCAGGGCCTTGTACCTGCTGAGCAAATGCTCTCCTGATGGAAGGGACAGCCAGGCAAGACACCAAATAGGAACAGGAAGCAGGTTTATTAAGTTATAGCCAGGTTCAGAGGGCAAAGCTTTCACTGTAATCAATCAATCCCCTTGAGCCTCAACTTCAGGTAGTTTTAGAACGTTATACCCCCCTCCCCCAGCTTTTTCTTTCACTCTTCTGGGCAAGTTAACCCTTTAAGGACAGCGCCTGAGAAGGGGAGAGCTTCTTCTCCCCTTTCTTTACTCTCCCTGCCAGCTGTTACCATGGAGCCCAATTGGGAACTTATCTTAGAAATGTAGACATCTCTGTGGAGCTCCAACTCAAGACCAGAGCACTTTTTAAGGGATCTGTCTTTTTTTTTTTAAATCACATTTTGCATTTGCAAACACACTTCTACAAGCTACTATACTGGATAAATGTTTGTGAAAACTAGTAAAGGGGCATTCAGCACCTAGAGTGCTGATCTCTTCCAGGCCAATGGCCAAGTTAAATGCAGCAACAGGAAAACAGGAAGTTTAACTACATTGAACTCTTTTGTAGAGACTCTTTGGCTGAGAGTCCTAAAATCAATTATGGTGAAGATTTCTGGAGAAGCTTAGATTTTCTGTGGAGAAGGGGGTGCCACCACACTCCCACTGAGATACTCACCAGTCCCTTTGCCTAGAATTCTGAATCAGGTGTCCATATAAGTTGTGGAAGAAAAGAAATGAGGATTGAAGAAGAGAAGGAAAGTGAATATTGGAAAAACATAGCCCCACTAAAAGACTGCTATGAATAAAGACTTGCTTTTATTTTTATATCACAGAAACTAAAAAGATATCAAAATGGAAAGATGTGCTCCCCTCCTGCTCTCTAAGCTATGCTTATCGTGGGAGGACCACAAATGTAGAGGACAAATTTTACTTGCTTTGGCAGTCTAAGCAACATATCAAATACCAAAAGAAAAATATGTTCATTTCTCAAACTATACCTTTTAGGAAGGGATGATATTTAATTCATAATAGTGAGCATTTTAAAATGTTCCTTTGAATATTTTTTTTTTGCTTTTTTTGGGATTTCAGCAAAAGATAACTGATGTTATTTTAAAGTAATAGGCCTAGCCAAGCATGATGGCATACACCTGTAGTCCAGTGATTTTGGAGGGTGAGGCAAGAGGATCGCAGGTTCAAGGCCAGCTTCAGCAACTTAGCAAGATCCAGTCTCAAAATAGAAACTAAAAGGGTCAGTACTATGGCTCAGTGGTTAAACACCCTGGGGTTAATCCCTGGTACCAAAAAAATTTTTTAAATAATGAATAATAAATAAGCCTATATATAATCACTATGCTCAGCTTTTAAAACATTAATATCTCTGGTTCTACAATATAAGATCAATTTTTTAGGTAAATGTTTTATTTTCTGCATTAGGGCCATTTGTTGAATTTGAAGAGATAGACTTGCTTGAGTTCTGGGGAGACATGGATAATCAGAAACATATTTATGAAGACTTTGATAAGGTGCTTTTAAGGATGAATGCATTACTTTCTGAAAAACATGACAGCAAAACTCAGAATCAGTTATCAGAAAACCAACAAGAACTTGATGAACAGAGGAAATCAAGCCTACCAGAACAGCAGAGAGTGACAACTGCAGAGCAAGGACCACAAAGAATTTCAACTGCAGAACAAGAACCCTATGAAGAACCAGACACAGAACAAGAAAATATCCCAGAGTCAATTACAGAACAAGAGACAGAACAGAGACTACACAGAGGATCAATTAAAGGACAAGGACAGCACAAAGGGTCAGCACCCAGAAGGTCGACTGAAGGACAAGGGTCACGCAGAAGTTCCATGATAGAACAGGGAGCACCCAGAAGGTCAGTTGAAGAACAAGGATCACGCAGAAGCTCCATGACAGAACAGGGAACACCCAGAAGATCAATTGAAGGGCAAGGGTCACGCAGAAGCTCCATGATAGAACAGGGAGCACCCAGAAGGTCAGTTGAAGAACAAGGGTCACGCAGAAGCTCCATGACAGAACAGGGAACACCCAGAAGGTCAGTTGAAGAACAAGGGTCACGC